TATTTTTTTATGACAAACGTTGCTAGGATACCTGGCGGTTCGAAAGCCCTTGCTACTGTAGAGAGGACTGTTTGGAGTGTAGACCTTGTAGAACTAGTTACCTTGATTGTTGGTTGCACGAACATCGTAGCGTCAGTTGTGTCCCCTTTAACGACCAAGACCCGATGCACTGTGCCATAATAGATTTTCCGACATCATCAATGAAGTAGATGACGTCATGAGTGTTAGATACGAACTTAGTTATGTTGAATCCCCCTGTATTAGGGAGAATTTTAGTTGTGTAGTAGAGTCTCTAGCCTCGTTTGTCGTGTTGAACGAGTGAATAAAACCGACCATGTAAAAACTTTTATGAAGCAATTGAGCAATATTGGGCTTGGTAACTATATCGGTAGCAGTAATCGGTAACTATTTGATGAAGCGCAAAATTGACAATGGATGGTGAGCATTTTGCACCAAAGATAAAACACGTGTTTTGGTATTGCTTGATACCATTTTTAGTAGGCCAAAGGAAGCAAAATGCAACTTGATTTTCATCTTCAATAACAATTTGCATAAACATGCCTTCAATCTCCGCCGATACAGCCACAGGTTTTCTTGGAATCGTAGTAGAAGACCAAAGATGTTGTTCAGGAGATCGGGTCCAGTTTCAAGGCAAGAGCTCAACAAGACTATTTTGTATGTTGAGGCTGCTTTGGCCACTCTGCGTACCTTTCCGGGCTTGTTTGGATTACTCGCAGGGTGATGTGGGAGGTATCAAAAACTTCCAGCTGTGGGAACTGAAAAGTAACAGATTTGACGTAGTTATTTTCCAGGGAGTAGTACGCGTTTTCTCAAAAACTTGCATGAGTTCAGGGTCCTTTTTGAGCTGTTCTTGTAGTGATTGCAGTTGAGCTTTAGCTATTGGATAGTTGTTGTGCATTTTCATTTCACTTTTCCAGAATAGATTTTTTTTGTAGCTATCTTCGTCGTGCTCAGTGCTTTGCTCCCTAAACCTCAGTTATCGAATGCTTTTATCAGAGTAAGTTATCTTCGTTTATTTCAGTGAGAGCAGCGTCTTCTTGATCATTTAAATCAATGAAATTAATTGAACGTGGTTTGATCCGGAACTATTAGATTTCTGGGTGAGTGGGTCTGTGATCGTCCGACCTAGCTGATTTTTGGCAGCGTGGGGGGTGCCTGTAGGACCTTTCCTGATATCATGCTCCGCAGTATTTCAGAAAACGTCTACGCCAAATAATGTTTGCACTGTGTTGTCGCCTATATCAGGGAAGTCGAAGGTGATTGTAGAGTGAGCAGGTTCTGTCAAGGTTGTTTGCGTCGATGGCGTCAAAACTTAGAGTTTCAACTGAGTAGAATGACTGTAGAGTTAAAGTAGGCTTAGTAGCGTTATGTGGTTTGATAGTTAGCCCCACCAGAGAGGAAGACACTTTGTCTTTATTGATTTTAACTCGTATGCTAAGCTGTAGTTGTTGACATGGTTTACATTGAAGTGTTTCAGCTGTTTTACTGAAGATGTATGAGCAGCTGCTGCAGTTGCCGAGTATGGTGTAGCAATTTAGTTTGCTGCCATTGTTAAAAAGTGTTACCGGCATAAATTCTAACTGGTTTCTGATGTTACTCATATTTTCGATTGGGTTCTTAGCTTGTTGCGATCGGTTTCTTAATGTAGTGCCAATCTGCATGTTATTTGATTTTTGGTTGTGCATTTCAAACGGCTTTTGTCGATGCGTAGACTTGAATGGTGTTTCCCTTCGCAGTTGTTGATGATACATTGTTTAACGGACGTGCATTCACTAAATCTGTTTTCGCCTAAGCTGTTGAAGCACAGTTTATGTTGTTTCACCAGCTCTGCCTGTTGATCTACGAGAATTTTCAAAAAGTCCGGACATTTTCCAATATAGTGGACTTGATTACCTACTGGAATTGTTGAAGTTGTTTGTTTTGTCGATACACCTGAATGTCTTTCGTAGTTTTCCTTGGACATAGAAGTAAAAATTGGTTGGGTCGGCTGTCGGATTGTTGTTGCTTCGTTGGTTGGCGAATTGGTCCCTTTTGCTTTGAATTTGATCGCTCTATGTCCAGGTTCTCGCATGCTCCCGAGTAGTCATTCAAGATTGCGTGGAGTCTGAATTTGTAGCGTAATCGAAGTCGTGCAGCACGCAGTGGTTTTCCCGTTTCATTAGTAGACGTACTAAGAGGCTTGAGCGAGAAAGTCGCGTCAGGTTGATAGAAATTAGATTGGTGGTGTAGCCGTTGAGTTCGAAGTTGTGGGTTAGATTGCGTAGGAAAGCAGCGTATCTGTTAAAGCCTTGTGGCTCGCATAGAATCAATTTGTCAAATTCTTAGAGTTCGCTGATGAACGCTGACACCATATATTTTGGGTTGCAGTATCTACGCACTAATTAAAGTATTGTCTCTTCTTACTGAGAAGAGTTGGTTCCGTAGCTCTTCATTACGGTTTTAGCATTATCAGCGCATAATGACTGCAAGTAAGTAATTTTCCCAACCGGGCTTAGACGTGGGTTGTTGCCTACCGCAGTCTGAAAGAGTTCGAACCAGTTATTCCACTCAAGTGGGTTGCCCTCAAACTTCTGTAGTTTTATGTCTGGTAACTTCGATCTTTTCAAATTTTGATGTCAGTGGTCGAATGTTTAGTAACGTGGTTGCTGACTTGTCTTTTTTCATTGCCGAAAAGACTGTTTTGTTGTTGGTCGTGTGGTTGCGAGTTAGTCCTATGGTGGTTGTTGAAGTGGTTGGCAACGAATTGTTCAGATGTAGTAACAGGACTTTTCTCTATTGAAGTTATTAGCAGGCTATATCGGTTATTGCCAGTTGGCATCTGGGCTTCGTGTGTTGAGTTTTTGCTCCAGATGTAGATTTCATTGGCGACTGGTGGAAGCGATAAATTGTATCGTAGACGAGCGTGAAAGTTCAAAATACCCAGTTTTGCAGTAAGTGAGACTGATCTGTAATCAGTTGTAGAGGTAGCGGTGACACCGTTGATTGTCTGATCTATAGCTCTGTTGGTTCCCGGTAAAGGTGGAAAACTGTAGCGTTGATGAAGGTCTAAGTCAAAAGTTCTCGACCTGGGTGGGCGTGTAATTTGAAAAGTCGGCAGCCGTAGAGCTGATGACGCTGTTGGCCAAGTTTTCAGTAGTAATTGAGCTTTTTATAGGTACATTGGCTGTTGCAGATCTGCCTTGCACTCTGAGTGGCTGTCTGACCCTGTGGAAATGGAACAATAGTTTTTAAAGACCTTTTCGCCTTTCCGAACTTTCATTAGTAGGTCGCATTTTCTTTTTAGTAGCGTTGAAGCATTGTCGAGGCAGTCTTGTGCTTATTGAGTGGAAAACGCGGCGAAGTCGTCTGCAAGTGTGTCTAGCAGATTGAAGCAAGTGGTTACCTCCTCGAACGTAGCTTACAGTACTCGATTTTGCTTGAGTTGGCTATTTTCCTCGTTACCTCTTGCTCAAGCTTATCGAAAAAATTGTAGCGGCGTCTCCGTTGATTAAGCAACTCCATAGATTAGCTGTTGTAAGGTTGGCTTCGTCGGAGCTTTTAAGGAATGTAATTAATAGAAGAGTTGTTCACTAGACAACACGGGTTAACATTTTACCAGCTCGGATGGCAGCGATAGCTTAGTATTTCCATTAAAGAAGCTTTGTGAGCTTTCTTAAGAGTCTTACTATAATTAACCTTAACTTTTTGTTGAGGTCAACCAACCCTAAGGCTAACCCAGTGGTTTAGTAAAAAACAAGAACTACAGCTCACGCAGTCATGACCGCTTTGACTTATGGTTGAAGACTACGTGGTGAAACTTTTGTTAAGTTTTTTTTTGCGTTGAAATGAGTTAGAAAATTTTGATACTTTCAAAATTTTCCGTAAATACTTTCGTAAACTTTGTTAGTAAAACGTTTTATAGTTATGGGTTAAAGAAAAAGTTTCAAAAAGTTTGAAAGTTTGGGCCTTTGAAAATTTGAAGGAGAAAGTTTAGGGCTAGAAAACTTTGGCTATCAGTATTTTTTTGTATAAGTGAAAACTTTTTTTTGGTTAGGAACTACCTTAGTACCCCGAGGATTAACAATAAAATGACCAATTGAACATTAACTTTTCCCATCTGCGGTTGTAGATTTCTTAAATTTGGGCTAAGAAGAACTGCACAGAAAGTTCAGCACAATTACTTAAAATTTTAGCACAATGTGGGTTTGTTGACGAGAGAAGAGCAGCGTGGTGTTTTTTTTGAGAGGGGGGGGGGGGGGGGGATCTATTAAGAGTTTTTTTTATCAGGCCTGTTTTTTAAAGTTGCCGTTGATGTTGATGCTTTCGTGACCCGTGAGATTGACCGTTGAAGATTGGGACCCTTGAGTAGCTCAGAAGATTGATGTCCTGAAATGGCCCTGATGATGGCTTGAAATGGCGTTGACAATGCCTGGAAGCTGCCTAACTGTTATGTTTGAGGGGGACTGGTTTGCCTTTTTTCGGCGTTCACTTCGATTTCTTAATGGTGGTCGCCAGATATTCAAGTTGGTCAAGATGGTTGACGCATAATCTTGAATTGTCCTTAGTTCATTTAGAAGTCAAATCTATTAATAATTAGTTCGCAACAAATCATGACAGTATTAAATGATTTAACCGCGTTTTACGAGAATTACCTTGAGACAAATTCATGTCATGAGTAGGTACGGGTATTGTGGCAATGAACATTGATAATTCATCGAGGACGATCTCTGTTTTTTTTTCACTTTTTTCAATTGCTCGCGTTTTCAATCGTCAATTTTCAATGTGAGCTCAACCCGGAGACCATTCTACCATAAAGGTCTTCATTCATTACAACGATAACTCGGTGCATTCTCATACTTGGTAAAATTACCAATTACAGCTTCTGTCGACTAAAAAAAAAGATTTTTTTTTAAAAAGCGCTTGTTACTTATTGACCAGCAGGTGTGTCAGACTATTACGCGGAGTTGTATAAATCATGGATTTTGACTTCATTTGTTTAGGCGAGTTTCTGGACGACATCTGTGAGCCACGTAAGTATTACATGTGCTTTTCTAACTCAACTAGTTCTGAAATGATACGGCTCGAAGTTTTCGTCTATTTGATAAAATATCGAATTTTTCTGTCGAGGAGTTAATTTTTTTTCCTGCAGATTTAACTAAGGTTGGATAATTATTAAGTACTTGCGTATCAAAAGGCTGTTTTTTTTAATCAAATTGATTATTTCTTTCAACAAAAAAAATATAATATTTTTTTATTTTAAACAAAAAATAATAATAAAAGTATAATATAATGAAAAAATATAATATGATACGGCTGTTTTTTTTATCAAATTGATATTTTCCTAACAAAAAAATTTAATAAACTATCTTTCTTTAGAAGCTCCAAAAAGGAACTCATAGCTTCAAGTAATTTTGTCACAATTCATTTAGCTGTTACTTGACATTGAGATTTTTCTAAATTATTTCGTTTATTTTGCTACAGTGGATAAAAAGCCGGACAAAGGAGGGGATTCGAACTCCCCTCCCAATCCAGATGACTCACACACTCTCAACTTTGCCATCATCCCCATCATCATCCCTCTATACCACTCGGGTAAGAATTATACACGTCGAGTATACTAATAAAACAGCTCTTTAAATAGTTTATAGAAAAATACGATCCGAGTGTACTAAAAAAGTTGAACTCTGTTCAAAAACTGTTTTAAATAATTTTAAGGCATCTTTATATTTACGAATCCAATTGGAGGAAATTTGACTGAGTAAAAACGGTTTGCTTTGGGAATTTGTTAACAATCCCTTCCCATTGTCTTCAGCGTAGAATTTTCCACGCTTCAGCATGGACCAGTTTTTTACTAGTTATCATTTCCCACTTATCGTTTCCCAGAGCTTTGCAGAGTTTCTCCTAGCTCCTCTTCACCGGGGGAGAAAGAATTAACAAAATCCATCGTTGTTTTAGGTGGCACGGCGAAACCAGGCGCAGGCTCTATAGACTACTTGTGGCCTTCGGATTACTACCCCTCTTTTGGCATTGGAGTAGACATTAACGATCCGACGACAACGTCCCTGACAACAAGTAGCACCACTAGTTCTACGAGTAGCGGCACGAGCAGCTCAACCACGAGCAGTACGACTAGCTCTACGACTAGCTCAACCACTAGTAGTTCTACTAGTTCGACTACAAGTAGCACTACAAGCAGCACTACTAGTTCGACTAGTAGTTTCACGAGTAGCCCAACGACTAGCAGTAAGCCGACCACATTCATCCTACCTGCTTAAAATATATTTTTTTTTTCAAAAGAACCACCAAAAATATATGCCGGCAAAAATTGCAAACCCGCTTTAAGAAAAAAGAAAAAATCAATTATAAAGGATTTTTGTGGTCTAAAATGTTATCAAAATAATCAATTCCCATGTTGCCTTCAGACAACAATGGAAAACAAATCGGTTAAAATTCACTATTTTTAAATTTAATTATAATCGATTTAAAATCAATTGAATTTGATTTTTTCCGTTTTAATTTTGTTTCGCGTCGTGCAAATATTTTCCATAATATCTGCATTTATCAAATGAGTAATTCATACAGCCAGAGGCAGATCTAGGGTTTTCTCGAGAAGGGGCGGATTTTCAAAAAGTTTCCAAAATTTTGTCGACCTTTTTTTTATAGGTCGACCAATTTGCTTTTCTAATCCTTGTCACCAAATCACTATCCTCAGAGTTTTTAGGCGTATTAGGCTTTTTTAGAACAAAGGCGTTTTTATGCTTTTTTGGAAAATTTTGACCAAAAAATTGCGTTTTTTTTTCACTTTCAAAGTTAGTATAATTTGGCGCCAAAGGCGGCATTCGAAAAATTTTAGTGTTAGTCAGTCAAAAATGGATATCTCAAAATAGTACAAAGAGGGTCCCTTTGGGTCGGTAGGGTGTCGAATCCCTGATGGGGGGGGGGGGGCGTCCGCCCAAAACTCCCCAAAACCCCTGGTGCATACAATGTTTAGCTCTATGCCATCTTATCGCCTCCCCCCTCAAACGCTTGCCCATCTGTCTCTCACACCTCCTTTTCAACAGATAGTTTTATTTAACAATTGATTTGTTGGACAGGTCAAAACGCACAAACGATTTTGTGTGCGTTGAAAATAGATCTAAACAAAATAGAAAAAAATCGATTTAATTGAAATTTCATTGTTTTCATCAATAAAAAAGAAAAATAATTGATTATAATTGCTAGGCAATGTATTTGATACTCCAATAAATAATGGGAATTTTATGCAACTTTAATGGGTTATAATCGATTATGTTTCCTTTTTTTATAGACACTGGCAATACAACTCAATTTTAACTAATTTTTATCCATGGAACTTCAGTGTGGGAATCAGCAAACGCAAACTGGTTTCTTGTAATTTTAAAATAGTATAGAGATTAATTAAGAGTAATGAACGTATTGAAGACTCTTATCTAGGTGTTGCTGATTTTTTGTTTGTTTTTTTTTCAGTAAAAAGACTTTAAATATTGGTGTGTTTTATGCACTTTTTGAGTTCAATTGAAATTCATCTGCTGAAAGTGACGTAAATAGCACTCTCCAAACACAAACGTGCAAATGGCGCAAAAATTCGTGAACGATCTCTAGTTTCGGAAGTGCAATTTGATTTTTTAGATTTCCAGCGTAATAAAAACTTTACCTGTTGATTCAGTTTTCTCAAATTGGGTTAATTTTATCAAAAAAGCGCCAATCATAAATCGTTCTAGAAATTCAAAAAGTTTAAAGGGCATCTATTTTTTCTCTGAAAATCGAAATCTGAGATTTTTTCAGCGAAGTCAGAGTTTTTTTTAATGTTTACTTATATTCATTACTTTGTTCCAGTCTTCGATTGGCTATGTTTTTAAGATTGCAGTTGATAATCAAGGAAAAGTTTCGCTAAGAGCGTTTGCAAGGGGAATTGTTAATGAGAGCCAAGCAGCACAGTATGTTCAGACCATAGGCTTAAAAAATACATATAAAAGTTTTGTAGAACTTCGATACAGGCACATTCTAGGCATATTTCTAGGCATATTTGATCGTCATATTAACATAGGAAAAATAGAAAACAGTTTTGTAGAAAATAGTTAGAAAAACGAAAAAAAATTCTACTAAAATATTTAATAAAATTAAACGTTTTTCAAATTTTGGAATTTTCAAAAAAAAATGTTTGAAATTGTTGCTCCCCAAAATGACGCGCAAAAAACTCCGAAAGCTAATTTTACTCGAGTAAATTAAAGTTTCACGGCCTAAATTAAGCATAATTAGGCTATTTTAAGCCAGCTCTCACACCTTATTCACTCGAAATTAGACGAAACATCAAAAAATGCAGACTTTTTTGACACTGAAGTCAAAATTTTTCAAATGAAAATGCTTTGAGCCACCTCATCTACAACCTAAACTTGCCTCAACTTTATCTTAAAGCTTGTAGCGGAAGTAAAAAAGGTTATTGGTGAAAACTTTATCTTTTTTGCCAAAAACTACATTGAATATAGTAAGGGGCATTAGGAGCATTTAGACTTTAAAGACGCTTTTCAAACAATCTTTGAGCGATATTTTTAAGAAGTTCTCAATATTCACCAAGAGTGCTCGTATCAGGCATTGAAGCCTTGAAGCCTTGAATGTTTCGACTGACCTCTAATTTAGTTTTAGTAAAATAAATATTGGCAAAACTATTGATTTTAGGCTTATAATACCAAGTTCTTAGTGTTAAAACTTGGGTCTTGTATGGAATCAATAAAAAAAACTAACTTATTGCCCCAAGGGGTCAATCCCCCGAGAGAAGAAAGAGTTTTGTGAAATTGGTCTGACAAGAAAACCACCCCGAGCGTATAATACTCCTCACTTTCTTCGAAAGTCGCAACAAAAATCTAAAGAATTGCATATTTCTCGTGAAGTTTTGGAAGCATTTGTAACTCTTATTCTCTGCACCCGCCATGATCAAATATTCACATCCCATTGTGCGCAGAACCTAGCCTAATTAATTTACTTTTAGTCAAATAATTGTAGTCAAGTAATTGAAAAGAAAAGAGGCAGAACATTTGGGTCTTTTAGTTTGACCATTATACCATCCAGTAATTTCAACCACAGTGTTTGCAGTGTTCCCTCTAGATGATTAGAATTGATCACAAGACAAATGATACTGAAACTTTCTAAAGGACTGAAGTAAAGAAAACTGCTATACACTCCCAACATTTTCGCCAGCTCTTTTTTTTTTTAAACACGGAATCATTTTTGATAGCGCTTATTATTATTGAGTCATCAAATTTAAATATTTTTAGGCGTATCAAGTATCTGTCAATCAATTACCAAGAACCAAGGCGGAACTTCAACTGATCAAATGTGAAAGTTGAATGAAAAAAATTCAAAATATCCAATAGTTCAGATCAATGATACCTGCTAAAAATTTCGTTAAACTTCTAACTTTAAGTGGCCTAAAAACGGCAGAAACGGAGCAGTCCTTAAATTAACACGGAAAAGTAAAATATGAAAAAAGATTGCTTCGCATATCATGACAAAAAATCTATTCATCCAAAATGCCAGGCAAAAAAACTATATTTGACAATTTAGGTGTGAGGAAAGCGGTATATCTTCTGTGCTAGTCAACAACTATTCAAACTTTTCCAACGTTCAGCTGATTATTTTATTTCTGATCTGGAATGGAAGTTCATGAAGTTTTTAAACACAATTTTGTTGTTACACAATTTATTTGTTTGAAATTAATTTTGAAGATTTTTTGCAGTAATTTATTTAAACTAATTAAATTCAAGTATAATGATTCAGCTTTTAAATGTCGAAAAAAAAATTTGAGCCGTATATCAAAAATTGCTAAAAAAAAAGCCCGTATACCAAAAAGTGCTAATTGTTTAAGCTATTTTTTTTCGTTTTATGTTAATTAGGTACAAGCAGTCCTACTACCAGCAGTACTACAAGTAGCACTACCAGCTACACAACTAGTGCAACCACCCCTCTGACTACAACTGCACCCAAAACTCAGGATGAGGACTCTGGTCCCGATATTCCGGGCATAAATGACATGGGGGTGGGGGAAGTTGAGGCGAGTGGGGAGACTAAACCTATTGTGGAGTGCAATGCAACTTGTCAAGCGGAGAATAAAGATGTGGTGGAGGTTGAAGCACAGGGAAAAGACCAGGATGTAAGTTGGCTAGGAGCAGCTTAGAAAAATACGAAAAAATATATATCAAAGTCATGATTTCTCGATTGAAACTAGCCGAAACAGAGCTTTTTGAATGAGATGAAATTATATGTACTTGAAGTTCTTCTTAACAATAATACCCCTTTTGATTATGTGAATTTTTCTGAATCATGGTACGGTTTTTAGGTAAATCTTTTTTCACAACTTGTAAGGTGGTTTGTATGCCAAATGTTTTGTAAAGGGAAAGTTTGCATCAAAATTAAATATTTTTTTAGCGTTACCACATTATTGTTTCTTTGCATGTCTGAAGAAATTCAAGAAAGCGCGCCTTAAAGCATTATAATCTTTTCCCACGCAATTCGCAAACCTATTAGTAACCTTATTTTGCTGATATCAACGCATTTTTTGATGTTATGAAACACTCAACTTGGTGTTTTCCAGACTAATACAATATCAGTAACTTTAATCAAGAAGATATAAGCTCGATCGATACTTTATAAGCTCGATAGAAATCGATCGATATGAGTTCGATCGACATAAGCATAGAAATTGATCGATATAAGCTCGATCGATATAAGCATATGGAACCTGATCTAAACTACATTTTATGATTGGATAATTTAGATATTTTACCAATGTAAAGTATTTAATATTAACCAATCATGATCCATCTAACTAACAACCCACTTATTTGTAAGTGCTGAAGTTACTTGTAATTTCAGCACCAGAGAGATTTGAATTTAACTTAGAAATTAGTTGGACTCTCCCGAGCACTTCAGCAGCCGCAATAAACCAGTATACCCTAGATCTATTGAGCCTAGCAGAGACTAGTTAAACAACCTGAGACTAGATAGTATAAGAGTAAGATTAGGATCGGTATTAGACTAAGAAGTTGCACGAATCTATCCGGCCGAAAATAAGATAGCGTGACGAGCAGACGGTGTACCCTATCCGAAATTACTCTATGAGTTAACCAACTCGGTCCTAACTCATCTGGTGCGACCATAAGTCTCGAACAAGACCTTAATAGCTTAGAATTAACCAAAATAGATTAGAAATTAGACAAAAACATTTACAAAATGTTATACGACAATAATTTAATCGAAATGTCTCTACGACTCAATAGATCAGAGCCAATATTCCGAACCATAACAGAACTACCCGGAATTGGAAGAAGACCTCGAACCAGAGACGACATACGACAAAGTAGAAACTTGCCATATAGCTATATGATAGTTAGGCAAAAACCAGAACAAACTTTTATATTTAGAATACTACTGGCAATGAATTTAGATTTTCATTTGCAAACATAAAACCTTGAAGTTAATCTTCAAAATCATTTCAGGCGCTAAACAAAATTATTAATATACAATAACGATTGATAAAAAGATCTAAGATCGTTTTCCTAAAACTCTGCAGTAATATACAAAACATGTTTGAAAAATATTTATTGAAAAATAAAAATAAAAATTAGTAGCATGACAATAAATGGTTAGTAATCATAAATCATCCTGTTGTTCCAGCTCCATCATCTAAAACATAACAGCAATCATAAACCCACTAATATCATCAAAACACTAAATCTTTCCTTTACACACATTTAAAATTTTATTAAAACTTAAATTCACTTAATTTTAAAACCAGATCATCAAGGCTTATCCTTGGATCTTAAATCATTTTCTACTTAATTAAATTTCAAATTTGATCATCAAGGCTTATCCTTGGATCAAACAGAACAACTTTGTTCTCCCCCACCCACTTAATTAGTGTCTAACGACCTCAAACGTCGATTCACTACCCAACCCTTTCTAAAGACCTAAGACTAATAGAAATTTTTAAACAAAACTAATCATTCAAATTAGGATAAACAGTGAAGAACTTCGGTTATTCATCCTTCACTTGACCCCCCCTCTTACCAGACCCAGGATAAATCTTAGACTTAGTAAGTTTAAAATAGTATCTAACGAACTACTCGCGTTCTAATTATACCTGAACCTTGTGGATCGATTTACTATTCTCCAACCCTTGAACACAATCACTACCCCTAAGTAAGATTAAGTAAGTTAACACCTTAACTTATACTAGCCACGAGAAAGTAAAAAATCATTCTTCGGAATCGATATACTTTTCTCTCCAACCCTGAACAAATAGACCCAGGTTAAGCTAACCAAAAAATCGTAAGAACTAACAGTTTAAGAAAATAGAAATCATTTAACAACCTTTTGCATCCGTCATCCTAAACCTTATGTCATTTAAAAACCTAGGAAATAAACAAACAATCGTTTTACACAATTGTGAAATAGATAACAAAAAATACGACCTTGTAATCACACCTCATACACAAACAGTTGGATACATTCGAACAAAACGACAAACACTAAAAAGAAAAATAATAACGAAACAAAGACAAATAACACGAAAAAGATTTTCAAAAAATCGAAACGCATTTTCAGAATCAGAAACCAACAGTTTAGACGAACTTTACAAACTAAAAGAATCAATAGATAAAAATTGCCCACTTCACGATCAATTATATTTCTCTGACTCAGAAACAACTTCAAATTCATCAAAAAGAGGAAAAAGAAGAATAAAAAAGCAGTATAAACACAAACCAGTACATTTATACAATTGGAATCAACCAATTAGACACATTGATAATTACATATTAACAGTCATCGAACGAAAAAATGAGCTCAACGCACACCCCAGGTGAAGAAAGTCCAGATGATGATGAAATCTTTCCTTTTATCGTAGATGCAACCACCGATAGAGGACAGCATATATTTTGCAAAAATTTACTATTAAATTTATTTGAACCCGGAATTAGTCCATGTAAAACAGAGTTCCCAGATGTAAAAATCAAAAGACAAATCATAGACCACTACTTAAAAGATATATGCAACATAACACAACAGTATGGAATCTACTCCATAGAATTCACCTCACCAAACCATAATAATAGAAAATATACAATTCAAACAGACGACCTTGATTTAGAATTTTCAAAAGTTTTTTCAGAATATATAAAAAGCATCCAATATCATAACTCACAAAGAGCAAACTCCATATTCACCAATGAAGTTTTCGCAATAATATATAGTTATATTTCGATATTAGAAAACGAAATCCCACTAACAAATGTCTCACCGACAGAAACATCCAAACATTTAAAAGTACGACATGAAATCACACTACTCTCTAGTTATTTAAACATCATTAAAGAAAATTTCACGAAAGACGACGTTTCACAACATACAAAACACGATCTACAAAAAATTTTGGCATGGTTTATAATAGATTATTTCACACACAATATTGATTTAATTGCACAAGCAAGAAAAAATTTTAGACCCCAAAACTCGAACGATGATACCGCTATCACAGAACAATCAGATTATGTTTGGGACCCCGAATGGTCTCATCCCGCATTTATAAGCTTCCCACAATCAATCTCAAGTCAAGCAATAAGTACGATATCTTACATAAGAGATTATGTAAAAGTAATACCATTAACCATTGATGCAACACCATTAAACTATAATACATTTTTGCCCGATACACAAAATAATAGTTTAAACTCTACAGTTATACACAATGAAAACCTCAATGGAACTAGGAATCTTACTCAACAAGATATCCAGACACCATCACACTTCATAAATGAAGAAATTGTGCACACAACAACTACACAACAAAGTATTTCACCAATACGCCCAAATTTAACAACACCAAGAAATACAAATCCTTCACAAACACAGGTAACCTTACAATCAACCGTTAAACCTTCGGTTGCCCCTAAATATTCACATATGGATTACCAAACATACAGACCCATGACAATACCATCAAAAACACGCAAAACATTCACTAAAAACAACTTTACAGACCATAATTATAATTATACACATCCATCAAAAACATATAATCAACCACAAAGAAATTTTAACCAATATACAAGATCTCGAAATTGGGATAACCCAATGACCCAACCTAATTCAATAAATTTCCAAACAAATCCTCCACAGGATCACAGTGAAAATTACCCATTTTTTCAACAAAATAAAAATAAAAAACAGACATCTTATCAAATGGATTATTTATCCTCAGATGATGATTTCTTACAACCAGATATATTTGCACCAAATACTCAAGAATATCGTAGACAAGGAATACAGAGAACACGTACAAATCATAGAAACTTTTCTCCACAATCAATAGATGCACAACATCAACAACCAATTCAACAACAAAAACCAATTAATACACAATCTTTTCAACCAATTCAACAACAAAATCCAATGACTGCACACTCGTATCAACCATTACAAATGCAAACTGAAATACCACTCCCATATTATCTCCAACAACATGAAATAACAAGAAACCAACTTTCAAATTTTTCTCAAATGCCAAATGCAGCAGAATCATTACAAATGACAATGAATCCATACCTTATGGGTGGATCATCAATAACATCAAACAAACCTTTAATGGTTTTCACAGGAACAGACCCTGAATACTCTGTAGAAGATTATTTAAATGCAGTAACAGCAAACCTGATTTTAAATATTGGACCTGAACCAATTAATACGCCACTACATCAAAACTGGATACATCGACGCACAGCGTTAATACAAACAACCTTAGATGGCGCAGCCCAAAAATGGTTTTCAGTACTACCTCTAGAAATAAAATCAAACTGGAAAAGGTTTACACAGGAATTTTCAAAAATGTTTGACTCCGAAAGAAACAAACAACAACAAAGAGTTTTATGTAATGAAATTCGCAGATTACCAAACGAAACCATCAAGCAAATAGCAGTACGAATCGAAACACTAGTTCGAAAAGCATATTCATTAAATACACATGACTATAAAAACACAAAGATGACAGAAATCTTAATGATGACCTTAACACCACAATTAAGGAAAATAGCAATAAAAAAGAGAGCATCCCATCCTTCTTCAATTCGAGAACCCGATTTAGATTTTCGAAAACTA